TTTGTTCGATGTCTATCGATTGCTACTAAGATCTATCCACAATCAATTTTTCTTTCAGGTTTAATGTTCTATTAAGCATGTGTGTAGGCCTGGAAATGCTCTTTAATCTGCTTATTTCATATGTCTGGTGTCATGTGAATATGATTATTAACCAGTTTATGATGAGATGAAGTAAGGAAGCAGTAACAATGTGTGCATGTTGACTTTGTAATACCTTATTTAATCACCTATTGTAACATCCTAGGCCAAACGTATAAGATATTGTCTGTTTTGTCCACACACTTGGACTCACGGTTTTACAATGCATCTGATAGAGTAGGTATGAAGTCCCTTCGAAGGCAACCTTTGTTCCCCTCCCAACCAATGTGGGATCTTACAATCCACCCTCTTGGGAGCCCAGCGTCCTCCCTGGCACACTAGTCCGATTCTCGGCTCTGATACCATCTGTAACTTCCCAGACCAACTGTATCAGATATCATTTGCTTTGTTCACAAACTTGAACCCACGATTTAAAACTATAGGAGGTATTAAGTCCCTTATAATGTAATATTTGTTTTCCACCCAAACCAATGCGAAATCTTACACCGACGCATCATAGTTTCTTTGGTAATCTATAAGATTTCAAGGTTCCATAAAAGATGTGACCTTTTTATGTTAAATGAGAAATTAGTCTCAACATATTTTTTTCTATTTGGAGAGTCGCATTGTGGCATTTCCTCATTCAATCTTGTATTTTTGTTTTCTGGTTCTTATGGCTATGTTGGTGTAGCTCACTTTGGCTATAAAGTTCATAAGAAAATAATAGACCAAACAAAACACTTGATACTTTAATATCATTTGAAGTTCAAGCCGAAAAGAGAACAATTTTCCATTCAACTTGAGTTTTGCTACGACAATCAATAAAGTTTAGTATCATAAATTTCGAATTCAAAAGGGTATCCATAGTATGTTGGTTTACATTTATTCAAATTTTACATCTACCTCATTATGCACGTACACACCTAGTATAAAGTAACTTTTGTTGTATATTCGTCTCATTATAAATTATAATTTGTAATTTTATGTATATTGCTAAGTCTAACACAAGTTTTTTAAAATACAAATTAGACTAATAATAAAACGCCTTTTAATTTAATTTGAGGTATAATTTCATTCAACACGTCATGATCAAATATGATTCCAATGTGTCAAATTAAAGTGAAAAAAGGACAAGATTTACTATTTTCTAAACAGGTGGATTTTAAAAGTATTTGTTGGTTTATGTTTCGTTTTCGTGCATCCCAAAACTAAGTTTTGAACAAGTCAATTCTACTTTAAATATAATTTTCTATTCGTTATATATATATATATATATATATATATTTATATATGGATTAGGTTCAAATAAAAATTAATTTTTTTATCGTAAATCAAGAGATAAATTATGACCATTGATTAAAATTAACAAAATCAATCGATGGTTAAAATATAGAAATGATTAATAACTCAATGGGGACAAAAATGTAATTAATTTCAAATTTTAATTACATGCTCTCTCTTTTGATCTATTGTTTTTTATTAAAAAAGTTCTACCTTTTTAACTTTTAAATTAAATTATCTTAAAAATAATAATAATAATTTAAACAAACAAAATTACATAAAAAGAAACAAATATTCATTTTCTTCGATTGACATCCATTTCAATATAGTTTTTTAACCATTCTTTACATGAAATGATATATCTGTGTAATATTCATTATGAAAATTTATACAGGTTCACATGTATATAACAACTTTTTAATACATACATTAGTATGATAATTATCATGAATATATAGAACTCACACTAGAATATTCATTATGAATAGTTATGTATTTTCATATGTGTTCAACAAATTTTAAGTATTTTATACATTATTATGATATGTATCATTAATATATATTTTCACTATAACATTCATCATGAATATTCATGTATGTTCACTTATATAGAACAACTCTTCAACATTCATACATCAGTATGATATTCATCATGAAAATACTTCATTAATACAACATTCATCGTGATTATATACATGCAATTCTTCATGAATATTTATATATGTTTACGTGTATACAGTAACTTTTAAGCATCCATACATCAGTATGATATTCATCAATAATATACAAATTTTAATTTATTATAATGTTCATGTACATGTTATTCATCATGAATATTTATGTATAATCACGTATATATAACTCTCTATTATTTATATTAGTATGATATTTATCATAAATATTAATTTTCACCATAATGTTTATGATTCATATACCTACTATGACTCATGAATATCCTATCATTTCAATTATATATACCCTAGTTTTTCTTTTCTCTTTATTAGTTTCTTGATTGATCTGGATGATTTCCCGATTCATCTCGATAGGTTTGCAATCCAACTCAATAAAAGTTGTAAGTGGTGTGTTATGGTCTTACACAAACAAACACATAATAAATGAATTGATAGGTTCTCAATTGGTCTTGATAAGAATTAAGGTGGTAGGTTATGATTTTACACAACAACACTCGAAGTTAATGGATGGGTTCTTGATTAGTCTTGATCGGTGTCGATTGATTCTCGGTCAGTATCAATGGTTCTTGATTGGTCTCGATGGGTTTCTGATCTGTCTCGAGAAATGCTGAAAATGTAGGTTATAGTTTCACACTCAAATAGATGATAAATCAATCAATAGGTTCTCGATTGAAAATGAAGGTGGTAGGTTATGATTTTACACATATAAAGACACAAAGTTAAGGATACTCGGCTGGTCTCAATCGGTATCGGTGGATTCTCGATCAATCTTGATAGGTTCTTGCTTGGTCTTGATGGGTTCTTAATCGTTCTCGATTGTTGTTGGGTTACGTCGTTACGGTGTGAAGAATGTGGTGTTAGATTACATACTTACAACGTTGAATAAACGAATATTCATAATGAATATTTCTCATACATAGCATTTCATGTTAAAAATGGTTGAAACGAGAAAAAAAACCTAGATCGAGATATATATATATATATATATATGTCATATCAAATAGAACAAAATTCTCGTTTTTCTGATTTAATTTATTTAATTAAAATATTAGTAATTTAAAAAAAATTTAGCTTAAATATTAACGGGGTAAAAGTTTTTAATTAGAAAAAAAATTCATATAGTTAAATGTGACCATGATTGAAATGAAATTCATTTTTTACTCTAATCACCATAATTGTTAATTGTTGAATCAAATAGAGATGAATAATCAAGATTTATCGAAAAAAAAAAAAACAATACTATGAAAGTTAAATAGAAATCATTTTTTCACCTATGAACTTTGTTAAATATAACTTAATCATCTCATTCACTTTCGGTTTCACGTATTAACTTTGATTCAAAAAAAATTGGAACAAGCAAAGTTCATATACGAAAGAAAATAAATCTAATTCAAAAAAATAACCGAATTTAAGTGATAAATGAAATTAAAACTGATTTTAAGGGATACAGAAAAGAAATTTAACTTAAAAAATAACCGAATATATTTTTCAAAAATAAAGCACAATTTGTTCTAAATTGCTCTTCATTTTTTAATTTTTTTTTCATCAGTTTATAACCTGTAATTTAATCATGATCGTTGCTTGAAAAAATTAACGGCTTAGATAAATTTATAAAGTTAATACTAATTAATTGGTTACTAAATAATTACACCTTATTATATGTTGTATATCAATACAATGCAATAAATATACATTTTATTGCAAATCGAGAGTAAAAAATTATTCAAATTCTTTATTTATAAAAGAAAATCCAAAATAATTGGACTTTTTTTATATTAGTATTATTTAGTATTTATCCTGTATTTAAAGAGTTATCAGTTAATTTTATGAATTTCAAATACATAAGTTTTTAAAAGTTATCTATACTATATTATAAAGTATTTGACAAAAACTCTGGAAAACTAGTTTTTATGCTTGAGTTACTGTTTATCGATACATATTACTTAAAATTCAAGGTTACAAACAAATTGTGCGTAATTACAACTTATTAAAGTTTCATATTTGAATTCGTGTAACTAAGTGCAGATAATCAAAGTCAAATACAAAATAAACATTTTATTTTAAATATAAAAAATCTAAAATATAATTAGGATAATTATTAAGTTTTAACATAATACTTAATTATTATCCTTATAAAAATTATATATTATTAAATAAAAAATAAATTACTCCGTTATTAAATTTAAATTAAATTATAATAAAAAATCGAATTAAAGAAATTACACGAAAAACAAGAACTTTTAAATAGTTAATTTGATACCAATATTGATATATTTATTTTCAAAATTTTATGATATCTTCAAATTTATATCTTATTCAAAAATAAAAACATAATCTATTTCTCAAAACCACATAAAACCCTATTAAAACATCACACTGAAGAAATAAGACGAAACATTAAAGTCGATATATATCTCAGTATATTGCGCAAGTACCATTCTAGTATGTATAAAATAAAAAGTAGTAAAATATTAATTATGTAAGATTTGAAAATAAAAAATAAATGGTTTTATGATTTAATAATATTTAGTTTTTTTAATGCATGAACAGTTCTGTTAATTCTAGTATGGAATTATTTAAAAAAATGTTATAAAAATAACTTAAAGAAAATATATTGTATTAATTAAAAAATATAATTTTCATGTTGTTCTCCAAAGTATTTATTTTATGAAGCGTATTTGAAGGTTTTTACAACCCATTAAAATAATACCACAAGGAGTCAAAACGTTCAAACCCTTGTACTCTTGGAGCTATAATTTTCTCTAGACTTCGTCGTTGAAAATTCAAGATTCAAGATTGTGTGATTCAACATTTAAACACTTCAATCTATAAATACCAACCAATTTATCCCTATATCAAAAACCACTTAATAAAAACCTCACAATTTACGCACAAATTACGTACACAGCTCTTTACACTACAAACTTTCGGTTTCAATTTCATTCCCCCATGCAACGTTCTATTTCCTCGTCCAAGAATGTGTACCGCGGTCTCATCCACTACCAGAAACAACCGGCTGCTGCCACCATCTCCCGCCAGCAGCCACCTTGCGATGTTTTCATCAACCACCGTGGAATCGACACAAAGAAGAACGTTGCCGGACTTTTGTATGGTCATCTCAAGAGGTTAAAGTTAAGGCCTTTTTTAGACAACAAGAATATGAAACCTGGGGATAAATTATTCGATAAAATCGATACTGCGATCAATGGCTGTAAAGTCGGGGTTGCAGTTTTTTCACCCCAGTATTGTAAGTCGTATTTTTGCTTACATGAATTGGCCCGTATAATGGAGGCCAGGAAAAAGGTTATACCGGTTTTTTGTGACGTTAAACCATCACAGCTTATCGTTAAGGACCACTGGAGGTTGCCGAAACATGAGTTAGATAGGTTTCAATCTGCGCTTGATGAGGCTAAGTACACCGTTGGCCTGACTTTCGATTCGTCAAACGGGTAAGAACTGATCGAACACATCTTTCATTTCACTGTTGGTGATGTATATACACATACGTAGATACATATACACATGTATGTATGTATACACGATCGACTTGAATGTGAAAAGACTTGCATGCATGCCACAAGTCACAATGCATCATAGACTGGTGGTGATGTAACTAACACTTATATATTATCTAAATGCTAACGGTGTTATTGGATATGTGCAGGAATTGGCCAGAATTTATGATGAGCGCCACCGAAGCCATTATCGAGAACTTGATAGAGGTAGAAGAAGAAGAAGAGCAACAAAAGTTAATCGTCCAAATTAATTGATCGGCACCATCTAATTTATTTGCATAATCGTAAATAAAAGTGATTAATTAATTCATTTAATAATTAATTAATTTTAATATGAAAATTTAATTTGAAGATTCAAAATCCAAAGTCTTGTTCTGGATTTCTATTAGATTCTATTCTTTGATTCAAATTTGTGGTATTCTTTGATAAGACTGCGAAATGCAGTTTTTTGCTTTCATGTAATATCTTTTAAGTAATCAATAAATTATCGAAAGCTTAATTCTTGGTTTCATTGATCTTTTTTGAGTTTGAGAATGTGTATATGTATGTATGTATGTATGTATGTATGTATGTATGTATGTATGTATGTATGTATGTATGTGTATAGACTTAGAATCACTTGAGACCAGACTGTTTTCGTAAGACCCGCGAGATCATATTTTTACACTTGAAACTTCACAGCAAAATGGTGTGAAGGTAACATTCACATTGTTTTTGCTGTGAAGGTTCGACTTTTTTAGACCTTCACAGTGTTTTTGTTGTGAAGTTTCAAGTGTAAAAATATGATCTCGCGGGTCTCACGAAAACAGTCTGGTCTCAAGTGAACCCAACCCTATATATATATATATATATATAGGCACATTCAAATGAAAACCGTGCATTTCTAAGAAACCGTGTAAACTAATTTCGATCAATAGGAAAATTCTATTTTTTCTAATTAAATTTAATCAATAAGGGTATTTTGGTCATTTACAATATTTTCCATTAAATATGGAAATTATTAATAAATCTTAATTAAGGAAACGTAATAAAGGAAATTTTATAAATGATAACATTTAAATATTTAATTATATTATAATTTTAAAAATTTGAACTAAATATATTGTGATACGATTGAATCTGCTGGTAAATCTTGAAGATAGTAAGGCATAATGTAATGAATTCATCAAATCATGATTGAACAAGGAAATTAATACAAATGAAACAGATTTCATGAAAGTGAAACTGGTTCATGTCATAATTGAACAATGAGTAGTGAAACATTTTCATGGTGAACTTGTTTCATTGATGGTGTAGTTGATCCATTTAGTAGGTGAAGTGGAAAATGAAACGGGTGCATAATGTATTTGGTTCGTCATGAAATAATTGCATAATGAAACGTGTACATGATGAATCTGTTACAGAATCTTGAAGATTGTAATCTGCTCCAGAATCTTGAAGATTGTAAGGCTTAAATGAATGAATTCATCAAATCACAAGTGAAATAAGAAAATTAATGTACATGAAATAGGTTTCATGAAGGTGAAACTGGTTCATGGCGTAATTGAACCAAGAGTAGTGAAAYGGGTGCATAATGTATTTGGTTCGTCATGAAATAATTGAATGATGAAACGGGTACACGATGAATCTGCTCCATAATCTTGAAGATTGTAATATGCTACAAAATCTTTAAGATTGTAAGGATTAAATGAATGAATTCATCAAATCAGGAGCGAAATAAACTAATCTGTGTACATGAAACAAGTTTCATGAAGGTGAAACTAGTTCATGGCGTAATTGAACAATGAGTAGTGAACTGGTTTGATGGTGAACCCCGTTTCAGTAATGGTGTAGTTGATCCATTTAGTAGGTGAAATGCAAAATGAAACGGGTGCATGATGTATGCGGTTTGTCATGAAATAATTACATGCTGAAATGGATTCATGATGAAACCGGTACGTCTTGAATAATTTCATAATGAATAGGGTGCATATTTACATGGATGTGTGAAAGACATTGAAACAATTTCAGGATAAGGAATAAAAAGATTGCTGCATTAGCGAAATTATTTCCTAACAAATAGAAATTTTTAATTTTCTAAATAAAGAATAATGTTCTTCAATAGGATATGTATTTTTGTTTATCATTCTGCCCTTATTGTTGATAGAAAAATAAATTTTTAATATTTTTTTTTAATTTCTTAAAATAAAGTAAATTAATATTGATCATTGATCAAGAAAATGGATGGATGAGATTGGTTTACATGGTTTACACAAATAGAGACGGTTTTCATTTGAACACTCCTATATATATATATATATATATATATATATATGCCTGGAATTATCATAAACGACAGAATGAATATCTTTAATGGTTATTGTTTTGCTGGAATGTCCTCCTCGAAAGTGACAACTAATGCTTACAGATTAATAAGTACCGTATGGAATGTATCATATGGTCCTTATAGAAAGTTAGCTAAAAATCAACTACATGGAACAAAAACGTCATTTTTTGGATAAAGAATCAGAAAATGATCGATGGGAAATTAGGGACAACTTTAGCTTTTAACTTCATTTTCTCTCTCTCTCTCTCTCTCTCTCTCTATATATATATATATAGGGGCCTATTCAAGGAAGAACTGAGTTGTTTGTGGTAACTGTGAGAACCAATCTCAACCAATCATTTTAATATATTAATTATACAATTAAAATCAAATTAAAAGGGTATGTTAGTCAATTCCTAATATAAATATAAATTTTAATTTTTTAAATGCAACCGTTTCAAATAAAATAAATTAATATTGATTTACATTCATAAAATAAAATATTAATATGATTTAGTGAAATAATTTAAAAAAAAAAATAATCCGTTTGTGTAATCATGTTCATGATTCTGATGAATCACATGAAATCACACATATTTGTCGAAGATTGTATCCATAATATTTAAGAATGTGAAATCAATAATTTTTTCCTGCAAAAAATTCATCCTGGAGATTGAAAACGTAATGAAGAACAATGGTAAAAATCCTATTGATTCTTCAATTCATGTCAATTCTGATGAAGATAGAGTATACGTCAATTCTCATGAAGAAAATATAGATGTTATGGAGGTTGTGACCTGGGAGGCTAATGATGAATTTGATGTTGGACTTTCTCCATTTAAAGATGTCCAAAAAAACTGTGAAGAAATCAGTTTGGTAGATGATATTGAAACTCATGTAATTGATGATACAACAGGCTACACATCGAACAATGAGATTCAGAATGATGAAAATCCAGGTTTTTGTTTCATACAGCTGTTGAAAACTACTTTTAATTCTACAATATAATGTGCTCATCCTGATTTGTATCACAGTGTGTTATCCAAATTAGTTATCATCACCTCGTTCACTTTACTTATATTCTTGGTGTGAATCTTGAATTCTTTGATATCTTCTTGTGTGATTCTTGAATTCTTTAATATCTGCTTTTTTATGTCTATTAATTTTAGATGTATTTTGTTGTATTAGAACCTGTAATGCCTCTGTATGTATCAATGATTTAGGCATGGTTGTGGTACTTTGTATATAAAGACAGTATATTGATGTGCAAACTTGTGATACATTATTAAATGGTCCTTGTATATGTTTGAATCCATGTTTTCAGAATACTTCTTACTGTCTACTCTGTATTGGTTTTATCTTCTTGTTTTGATTATGGAAATCTTTAATATCTACAATTATATGTGTATCTTCTTGTGGTACTGTGTATATAAAGATAGTATATACATGTGCAAACTTGTGGTACATTAATAAATGGTAAATTTATATGTTTGAATTCATGTTTACAGCTATTGATCAAGCAGAACAGGGCTTATCAATATCACCAGGTGGTACTAATTGGTATACTCCTGTTGTTGAAGAAGTTATCAAGCCCGTTATAGGATCTGTGTATCCGTCATTGGATGTAGCAGAATCGATATACCAAAAATATGCTGAGACGGCTGGATTTGAGGTACGACGATCAACACAAAAGATTAATCCTGATGGTGTAATACAGAATAAATACTTCGTATGTAGTAGGTTTGGTTTGCCATTGAAAAAGTTGGTTTAGCAATTCTTGACTATTTACATGATGCATGATTCATGGTTAATAGTTATGATTCAATGTGGAACATTATGATACATAATATAAATTACCTTGATAACAGTTTTCACTATTTAATTCATGATTTGTATTTATGGTTTACTGTATGAAGTACTGTGAGACAATGTGATACGATGTGATACATATGATACATAATCACCCAGTACATACATGTGTGATATCTGTTTTAATAATTACTTCATGATTCGTAATTATGATACATAGTCCATACATGTATTGCAATATGTGATACCAACCATTAAACAATTTAATGAAATTACACAACATATGAAATACGCAAAACAATTAATGTATTTAACAAAAAATTTCGAAATATCCATTTAATATAAGCTAAATACCAGACGTTTATGTCTTAAATACAAAAACACAGCTTAACATATCAGTTAGAGAATCTGTTCCAAACAAGTTACAAAAAGTAACTACCATTTACTGTATACTATATGAAATACTATTCCAAAACAGTTCTTAAATACTTGCAAGCCGCGCTTCCCTGTTAGATTTTGCACATTTAAGCAAACGCGTTTTCTCCTTCAAATCCAACGCGGTAAACTTTTCACAATCCGCTATCACAAATGGTCGTCTAATGTTGATATCTGAAAGCAATAGTTTAGCAGTGTATTTTCTTCTCAATAATTGGAGTTGTTTGACTTGGTTTGCTCCTTCCGCATCTAGTCCTGATTTCTAGCGGTAAGGCAGCTCCCCCATGTAACACTCCATATGACGCATCAAGAATACACCACAATCATGAGCATTCTGTTTTGTAGACCATTTCAATGCTATCTTCACCGGATCTATCCCAACAAAATCTTCATACAATGGATGACCTACCTTCTTGAGATGTTGTATCATCAAAAAATGCTGCAAGAAAACGATGAATATGACACTCAAATCATTGTATAAATAAACATAAAATGAATGAATTAAAAATATAGTTTGTTTGAAGTTCCTCACCAAAAGATCCGGTATTTCCTCATATTGGCTGGGTGCTTCAAGATCTTGCTGAAGGTTATCTATAACCAATATGGAAGGACGTTTGAAATTGAACACCACCACAAAGTAATGCATATCTCTAACGATTGGAAAGAATAACTGCAATTGGTAGTTGTGTGTTAAATGTAATATCTA